TTTTAAGATTAAATTTTCTTGGGCCAAGGATTTAGCTCACTGGCTAGGCACTTGCCTTGCAAGTTCAAGGTCCTGAGTTCAATTCCTGGTACAAAAAAAAAGATTAAAGATTTCTTATTTTCGCTTAGCAAAATACCTAGAGATATATCCAAATTTTTATGTTCACTGCTATCTATATTTTATTGTTTCTTATTGCTGATTAATATTCCATGGTATGGCTCTAACACTTTTTTAAACCATTTACCTACTGAAATGCATCTGAGCTTTTTACAGTTTTTAACTACTACAAATAAAACTGCAATGAATAATTATGAGCAGAGTTTTGTATGAATCAATGTTTTCATTTCTCTGTGATAAATTTCCAAAAGTAAATTGCTTGGACTTTCCACAGTTACACATTTAACAGTATATGAAACTTATAAACTATTTTTGAGAATTTGCTATGTTATATTTTTACATTTCCATCAGCAGTCCTTAAGTTATACAGTTGGTCCACATTTTCACCAATTTCATGTCATTGTTGCTTATTTTATTTTAACTATTCTGGTCAAGGAGTTGTGAGATTTCATTGTGGTTTCATTTTTATTTATCCATGACTAAATATCTTAAACATCTTTTCATGTGATTATATTCCATCTATGTGAAGTGTTCAGTGTAATTTTGCCAAATATATATGTACATTTATATAAAATTTGTACTTTTGACATTAACTTTTGAGAGTTTTTTGTGTTCTGGATAGTAGTTCTTTCTTGTATATGTGTTTTGTAAATATTATTTCTTATTTTGAAGCATAGCTGTCTTTTTCAGATGGTTTTTCACACAGCAAAATTTTTAAATTTTGACAAGATCCAATTTATCAGTTTTCCTTCAATAGTATGATTTTAATGTTATGTCTAAGAACTCTTTCTATAATCATGAATAATTTAATATTATTTTCCCCAAAATAAAAATGTTTTAATATTAAATAATAACATTAAATATTATTAAAAAATAATTATTAAATAATAACAGTATCATATGATGTGTATTGTACATTTATTTTTTGTAAAAGTTGTTAAGTTTAAACTATATTTCTGAACTAAGTTATATTTCATCTTTATTAAAATTCAGTTGGATTTATCTGTGTACCATATATCCTGTTTACTGTACTTACAAGATAAGTCTGAAATTCCAAAATATAATTTTCTCTTTGTTCTTATTTTCAAAACACTTTTTCTATTCTAATTCTTTTATATTCCATATAAATTTTAGTAGAATCTTATCTATATTGATTAAAAACTTTGATAAGAATTATATTAATCCTATGCATCAATTAAATGAACATTGAGATCTTTACTATGTTGACAATACAACTGATAAGTTCCATTTATTTAAATTTTCTTTGATATCTTTTATTAGTATTCTGTGATTTTCAACATGTAAGCCTTATATATGTTTTGTTAGATTTTTTTCCATAATTGTCAATGTTATTTTACAGTTTATTTTGTGTGATCTGTTCACCGCAAGTATATAGAAATACAATGATTTTTAAAATTTTATGTAATGTTTCCTTGTAAGAACTGATACATTTTTGTTGTTGTAAATTCCTTAGTTTTTTCTACATAAACTAGCATATCATTTGTAATGGAGTTTTACTCAGGCCTTTTTGTGCTTTAATGCAGTCACTAGGACTCCCAGCAGAAAGACTTGAAATTCTCACCTTTATATAATTTAAAGGGGAAACATTCAGTCTTTTATCATTAAGTACTGTATAATATTAGCTGTAGACTTTTAGTAGATGCTTTCTAGCAAATTGAGATAATTCTTTAGCCCTACATTGCTCTCATAACTGAGAGCTAGATTTTTTCAAATTTGTCTTTTTTTGCATCAATTGATGTTTTTGTATTTTGAGATTAGACATTTTTAACCTCAATATAGAAGATTGCTTACATTGGAATAATTATCTAAAAAGTAATTTTGTAGTTTCATTCAAGATTTCAAATAAACTGCTGGCTAATTTCATCAATTTTTAAATTATCTGTAGCATAGTTCTTATCTGCTCTTAAATCAATATGAATTAATATATCTAGCATTTATTAATACAGATTAAAAATGTAATGGTGTTGATACTGATAAGAAAAGATAGACTAAAAACAAAATGAATCTTTCATAAACAGAGCTATACCTTTATGGACAGTTGATTTACAACAGTTTTATTACAGAGAAGAGAAAATGATATTGTATTCATTGGCTGTACCTATTAAAATCATATTGTGACTTCTACCTCATCTTCTACGAATATCTTCTCTATGGACAATTGTAGCAATATAAAAGATGACTTTAAAAGAATATAATGCTAAGCAGCATACTCAGCAATAATATATATAATTCATATAACTGACAATATTATCATCTTCAGAATATTAAAGGAACTATAAATCAATAAAAAAGGGATAAAGGAACACTCAACCAAACAAACAAGTCATCATTCCAATTATAAAATGAACGAGATAGCTAAGGTATTTCAAAAAAAATACAAATGACCAAATTATATGAGTTAATGCTCAATCTCATTATTACTCAGGAAATAATGCATATTGAACACTTGAAAATGCTACAAGAACAACTACATAAAGCATTTAAATTAAAAAGATTAATGACATCATTTGTTGGTAGACATGTGCAGCAAATCAACTCTAACCTACTCCTTGTGGGAGTATAAATTGAAAAAGTACATGAGAGAATAGTGTAGTGTCATCTATTAACACAGGATATTTCATAGCATTTGGTGCTTCAATTTGATTCCAAAGTTTATAAACAACAGGATTGTGTACATATGTGCAACAAAATCTATTTACAAAAATATCAATAGTTGAATTATTTATAGTATCTTCAAACTGAAGGCAAGAGTGTCTAAAAGGTGATGGATTCATATGAATAGTACTCAGCAATGAAAATGAATTGGCTGTTACTCCCACAGTAATATTTATAAAATATATTTGAGTCAAAGGAAACCACCCACAAATAAATCGATAGTAAAATTACATTCACATACATTTCTTTTGCAAAAGTTAAAAATGAATATAACATTTGAACATGGAGTAGGGTAGATTAATAATTAGAAGGGTCAAAATTAACCTGACAAGAACATGTTTCCCTCTCTCTCTCTCTCTCTGTCTCTTTCTCTCTCTACTCTACTGGGAATGAAAAGTACATGTTTTTAATTTGTACGTATGATTTTTTTTTTTTGTACTAGGGACCAAACTCAGGGCCTTGCGCTTGAGAGGCAGGGGGCAGCACCACTGAGCTAGGTCTCTGGCCCTTGTATGATATTTTGCAATGAATATTTACTTAAAATTTTTTCATGGTCAAATAAATTTGAAAAAAATATTAGAAAAGCATGTTAAAATTTAATAAATTTCATAATCTAGAGTTTCTATAAACAATGACATACTATTTTCTATTTCCTCTCTAAAAATGTAATAATTTATGGGCCATTTCCCAAGTGTAGTTTCAGAGAATAAATATTGGGAAATACTCCATTGTGTGCCAAGTTCTTTGGCATAGAATATAAACCCTTTTATAATCTCGTTCCTACTCACTGTCTCAACTTCTGTTTTCTCTATTTGGAGGTTATTTCCTCTATATAAACAGCACTAGATTACAGGTGTTCTTCAAGTATATCCAGCTATTTCTTTCCAGCCTATCTTAAACTACAATGATTTCTCTGCCTGAAATATTTTTCTATTTACAACATAGTTAAGCCCTATGCAATTTTAAGTCTCAAATCACAGCTATCACCTTCAAAAGGACTATCGTAATTTCCCTAGTTTGAGTTAAATGTACTAGTTTTGCTTCTCATAGCAACAGCAAACTGACCTCACTCTATTATACCTCACTCTATTTATGGTATAGAGCTGAAAATTAGAATATGAGTGTGGCTGGTTGATTTTATTTTACATAATGTGTGTCAGAGTTCATGTGTGATATAGAATATTTTAGTATTTTCCTATATTTTCTTCATCCATCAGTGGACATCTCAGTTACATGTAGCCACCACTGATAACACTGTAAAGATCTGAAAGTGCAAATATCTCTTTTTGTGGTGGGTAAACTTAATTATCTCATAGACTGCCTTAAAGAGCTTTCAGATTAAAACATTGATGCTCATAGTTTAATGTGCTGTTATGAAGTGGGCCTGACCGGATTTGTCACCAGGGAAAAGCTTCTGAGGGTCCATCTCTTGCTGGTACTATTCCTTTGTGCAGTGCTTCCTAGTTGCCATAACTGAGCAGATTTACTCCATCATGCCCTTTCCCCATGATGTTTCTGCCTTGGAGTCAGCTGACCTGGCACTAACCCTCTGAAATCATAAGCTAAATTGAACCTCTCCTACTTTGTTACATATGTCATTTATTTTGTTCCAGCCACTGGGAAGCAGATCTCCTGTCTTCTAGATCCTAATTTCAGTTTTTAAAAATGCAAATCCTGAAGTAGAATTGCTGGATCAAATATTAGTCATTTTTATTATTTGAAAATGCTCTATAGTGTTTTCTATAGTTTTATCACTTTACATTCTTTATGAAACTGTAACAAGCATTTCAAGTTCACCACATCCTTGTTCACCTTTGTCATCTTTATTAAAACCATTACCATCCTGATATATGGGAGAGGAAATATCATAATGGTTTTTATATCATTAGAGTTTTGCATATCTTTATGACTGGTTATGTTGTATATCTTTTCACATTTCTGTTAACCATTTATAAAACTCCTTTGGAGAAATGTTTCTTTTTTTTCTTTGCTTCCTTGTACTCAAGTTATTATTTTGTTATTAAATTGTTGGAATTCCTTTTATATTTTGGATATTAACCCTCTATCAGGTAAGTTGCTTGCAAAAATTTTTTCCAATCCCACAGGTTGCTTTTTCATTTTGTTGTTTGAGCCAATCATAAAATGACAAGCAGGACATGTGAAATATTTAAAAAGTCAAACTCATAAAAGCAGAGAGAATCCTTCTTGCTAGAGATTAAGAAGATGGGGAAAGCGTTCAATCAGTATAAATTTTATTATGCAAGATGAGGACACACATTCTAGCCAACTGCTACACACCATACTGTTCTAAGTTAACAATATTGGATTTTGCACTTAAAACTTTGTTGAGAGAGATTTCACATTGTGGTCTTTCACAAGAAAACAAACAAAAAACAAGGAATATGAGGAACCATTTGGAGATGATGAAATGTCTATTGTTCTCATTGCAGTGATTGTTTCATGTGTTTTGTGCTGTACAGAACACAAAACTTCACCTCTACTCTCCTAGAGTTTCTGGCTGGGTGTGCAAATTAATTTCACATAAATCAGGTTAACAGGAGAGAAGAATAAAACTTTGTTTAATGTAACTTTAGATGACCTAAAGACTTGGCAAGACTTAAATATTTTAATAATGCATAGTTGAATAAAGAGATAATTATGGAAAAAATAACTTAAAATACAGGTAGCTTGAAAGAGGATAAAAATTATTTAAACAATGTATATTTATACAGTTCTCTCACTCTCAGGTCCTTTTGCTTGATGATACAATTTTTTTGTTGTTGTTGTTTTTTATTCTTCTCTCAGTAGAGGAATGGCAGAATTTCATCACCTGCTTGAAAGAAAACAGAAAGAGATTAGAATGCCCTTACAAGTACCTTTTAGCAAATGCATTTGAATCAAAATAGTCAAAAGTCAAAATAACAATGTAGCATAGTTTAGGCTGATGTTTTCTGTAGTCTTTCAATATAAATATCCAAATTAATTAAATTCTATACATTACATATGTGATGTTTGGAGTGTACCAGTTATATATTAGTAAGATCTTTTTTAAAAAATATGACTGCCAAGAAACATCATTAGCTCATTTATCTTTTATCCCAAACATCTACCATAGTTTATGCATATTAAATGTCATGAGTGAAAGTATTATATTTAGAAAATTAAAAAATTATAGCTTTCCTCTTTATTTCTAAAATGGGAAAACGTAGGTTTGCTTAAGGTATGATTTTTCCTTTATGTTTAAATAGAACTAGAGAAATGTAGAGTCAAGGTCAAAATTCAGATTTTCAACATGTTACCCTTTCATCTTCATGCCTAAAGTAACAGTGAATCTGAGGATACTGAGACATTTTACTCATTTCTACATTAATGCAACATTTCTTTTTCAATAGTATAAAACATCTGCAGCTACAGATTTCCTTACAGATAAAGGAATTATATATTTTCTATGTGTCTATATTTTTGTCTGAGTTTCTCTATGAGCACATGAAAGAATATGAAATGTGCTTAATAAAGAAAAACACCAGTTACAGATCCAATGGTTGATTTTGAAATTTGCATTTTGTATGTTCTCAGAGTTAGTATAAGGATTCATTAATTGCATAAATATGAGGAGCTTGGAATAGTGCCTGGCACATAATAAAGTGTGGATGAATGTTAATAATATTGAAATTTTCTTTCCTATGTAGTTAGGAGGGTTTTTTTCTATTATGAAAACAGCTTTGATGAAGCATAAAAATACATGCCCCATATTTTTTTTCATGCAAGTGGATACTAGGTTGAAATAAAGATTAGGTAGCAAATAGAGTGTCAGTACTAAAATGATCTCAATGAAGAATGAACACTGAACCTTAAATTAAAACCAGTATCTTCCTGTCATTGTGCTCATGTGTCCAAGAGTTAATGTATGCCTGTCAACCTGGAACAGATATACTACAGTCTATTATGCCTCTCCAGCTTCATTTTGTATCTCCTGCTATGCTGAAATGAAACTTTGTTACAATGCTTAAGTACCACTGATTGCTTGTAAATATAAGTGAGAATTATGAATTCTAAGGTTAAAATGGTTGCATTTTAAAATGAAAGTTTAAAAAGTGCCAATATTACTGAAAACTTTGAACTAGGTAGCTTTCATCATAGTCTCTGATGTCATTCAAAAGGCTGAAAATTAGTTGGGAAGTATATGCATGCAAATAATTTTTAACATAAAAATAGGGATTTTGATATCATTTAGATAAAAGGATTCTTAGACAAGAGGCTTCTGTTCTTTTGTAAATGATTTCTATTCCCTTTTTATATGACATACATTAAGAATCTTTGATTGAAAAAATTTTGTTATGAATATACAAATTGTAGCAACACAAATCCTATTTAAGCATGAAATGTGCCTTTATCTCCAGAAAAGAACTCGCTAGTTTTCATTTGGCTTCTACTTTGATATAAAATATTTATTTTACAAAATAAATATTGGATGGATTTAATGACACAGAGATATGCTTTAATTGTGTTTTTAATAAAAATGTTTTCAGATAACCCACATTTATTAGACCTCTGCTATAATAAAAAGTAGTTTTAGAGAATATTTTATGCCACTCACTTATATTAATACCAATGTATTTTTCCCAGTGAGTGGTTGATGTAGTTTTCAGCTACTGATAGAATTTGATTCAATATGAAAGCTGGAAAGTATGTTATAATTTTAAAGTACATGCTATTTTGTAGCATAGATGCTTAGTTTCTTTGGTTTTCCGTAACAAAGTATCAGAAATTGAGTGGCTTAAAACAGAAATTTATTGTGCCAGTTTTGAAGATTAGTTTTTGAAATTGGTAGGGCTCTAAGACACAGGGTAAAATCTTTCTTGCCATTTCTCAGCTTCTTCTGGTGGTGGAAAATTCTGAGCATTCCAATTTGTTTCTCCATCTTCAAATGAGATATCTCTGTGTGTCTCCATTTGCTTTTCCTCTCTGTATGTCTTTCTCTATATACAAATTTGTATAAGGATATGAGTTACATTGGATCGGTGCCCAATCTAATTATGTTATTTTAACATCATTATCTCTGCAAAGACCTAATTTCCAAATAAGTTCACATTTTGAGGCATTAAGAATTAGGACTTCACATATATTTTTGGAGAATACAATCTAATTTATAGCAGTAGATATTAATATCATTTGAAGATATAGACATTTAACCAGCTGTTTTTATTTTTAAAAATTTTAAGGAAATCCATATGGCATATCAAAAATAAAAACAAGAAACAAGAAATACATTTTTTTCTTGAATCAAATAGCCCAGAAAATAATTCTGAAATTTAAGAAAATTTTCATGTGCTTTCTTACCATTACTAGAAAAATAAAGCTTCCTGTAACCCAGTTATATATAATTCTTACTAAAACAAAATTGGCAAGAATTAACTCGTTAGGTTTTCTTTTGAGTAGCTATATTTAATAATATCAAAATGCTAACATAACATGAAAAATTATGTCTCAATTTCCAAAAGATTATCTAAAGTTTAAACCTTCATTTTTTGTATAACATAAGGAATTATTATTTATAATTATGATTTCATTGAGTTATTCTTATTATGAATGATATTGATCAACTTGTAATATGAACTTTCTTAGTCTGTTGACTCAATTACACACTTTTCTTGGAAGTGCTATGGTGGACCAACATATATTGTCAAGCGTTGGAATAAAGAATGAGCATTACAACATAAATTAGGTCTACTCAGGCTGCTATTATCAAATACTAGAGGCTAAGTGGGTTAAACAACAGAAATTGAAGGCTCTCTTCCTACATGTAGATGGTCTGAGTTACTTTTCTCATTGCTGAGGCAAAATACCTGACATCCACAAGTTAAAGGAGGAACTGTTTATTTCAGCTTACAGTTTGTAGAGGTTTCAGTGCATAGTTGGCTGGATCCAAAGCAAAGTGGTATCCCAGAGAGAAACAGTCCATAGCATTGCAGGCAAAAAGCAGCAGACAAGAACCAACAGGAAACAAACAGCAAGCATGCATTCTTTCTGTCCCTTTAGTTCCATCTAGGCTACAAACCTATTGATTGGTGCCACCTACACCCAGGGTGGGGCTTCCATTATCCATATCCACCCTTAATCCCAGCATCACAACCCTAATCCAGCATCACACACTCTAGACCCAGCCACTTACCCAGAGAGAGATCCAGAGAGAGAGAGAGAGAGAGAGAGAGAGAGAGAGAGAGAGAGAGAGAGACAGAGAGAGAGAGAGAGATTGATTCAGTGAGATCTCTTGTCCCTTCTTAAAAGAACACTGATAGAATTCTAATTCGAACAGATCAACAGATCAGAGACACACTAGTAGGGTCATACAACCTCATTAAACCTTATTTACTTCCTTAGAGGCCTCATCTCCAAATGCATTCATACTGGGGAATAGAGCTCAACATCAATTTTGAAGAAGCATAAATATTCATTCTGTAATAAATGATATTCAGTAAGGTTTTTTAGAATATTAGCTCCAGTGAAGTTTTTTAATATATTTCATACAAAGGCTTTTTGGTGGTATTACCTACAAAATTGTACATAGAATTAACTGTATTCAACTTTATGAGTCCAGAATCATTGCCAGCAGAGAGCCATCTCTTCAAAGTATGTTGTCACTGAGGTAAGACTGAATTAAAGAGGATGAAATCTGTGCAGATTTATTATTCTTAAAGCAAAACATCTAAAATAAAATTCTATAAATGTTCCTAGAAGTTGAAACTTGATTTTTTTCTCAATATAATTTTAAGTTAGTTTCAATGATGGCCTGACAGTTTTAATTAACAGATCATTCAATGACAATCAAAGATATAACCTTCCAGTACAGACTCCAGCCTTTCTGCTCGGATTCTTTGGCTTCCTGATATGGCCTTCCAGTGGACTGTACAGTGAGCTCCAGGCTGGGTCCTTTGGATCTCTAGGGCACAGATGGCCCTTTTGTACTCTTCCACTGCTGACTGCGTTGGCGGCCATATACAAACCTACCTATAAAATAAAAATCCAAAGTAAAATTCAAAGGAAATCACTAAAACAGTACCTTGATAAAAACACAATAATCCACATTGTAAGTCAGAATAAAAACCCAGGAAAAAAATCTCTAGAGTTGCTAGAAAATTATGGGGGGTGGGGGTGGGGAATCTAGAAAATCTCTAGAAAATTAGAACCTTTATTTTTGTTTATTTTAATCTAGTTTTTTCATTAATAGCTAAGAAATTTTGTCAGATAACAGCTTTTTTCCTCTTTATTTACTTGGTTCATTCTTTTGAGAGAATCTTATCAAAACTATGATGCCTCTCCTTGAGAAAATGCAGTTATACCTTTTATCCATAGATACATTTCACACCCAGTCTTCCTAAAATGGAAGTACAGAAATTACTGAATTTCTTAAAATTTTTGAATAAAAGTAGAGATAAGTTTGAATCGTTATTCTAGTCCATAATAGTATAACAATAAATCCAGAAGCTTTTGATTTTGTAAATCTATAAAATTAGAAATTTCACTATGTCTAAGTTTTTCATGATAACGATGCAATACATGTAAAGTGTTAGAAATAGAGCAGAACTGCATTTATATGTTTCTTATTTGTGGTTTCTTTTGTCTTTGTTGTTTGCTTTTAGTACTGGGGATCAAACTCAGAACCTTGTGCTTGCCCAGCAGGTGCAGCGCCACTGAGCTATATCCCTGGTTCAAGGTTTCTTTTGTCTTTAACATTATGATGAAGTCATCATTTTTCATAGATTCTATTTTTACTGTTCATCATTTTATGTCATACTAGGATGGGATATTTTATATTTCTGGTGATGCACTCCAAATCTTACAGTGAGTCTGGATATGAAAATTATTAAAATGAGATGAGCTTACACTTTTGTATCTGTAATAATGAAACTTTGTACTTACAATATTTGTGTAATAGAGATTTCCTGAGAAGAATTAGAAAATGATTCCATTTACAGAAAGCTAGAGTGAGAATATGTATCTTGTGTGAGAATCTATAGTGTTCCCATTGGGAATGCTACTTTTCTGTCTTTAAAACTGAAATAACACATAATTGATACACAGATGTGTTGCATGTCAAAGTTTAATAGTTTGCATCAATCAAAACATTAACTTTTGCTGATTAGTAAAAGTTCTAAATTATCACTCATTGAAAATCATTCTAAGTTTTTAACACAAGATTTCATTGCAATTTACTTGCAAAGTCAGGTTTTTTGGATACTATACACCCACTCTCTCCCAAAACGAAAGTACCTTTATATGAATTAAGAGTTTAGTCCTATAAATGTTCACCTTTTATAAGCCTGAGGTGAGGCCTTCTTGACCTAAAACACAGCCCAAAATATAGTTAATCAGAACAGTTTATTAGGTTCATTAATTGTTGTTTTATCCATTGCATAAGACCTCTCTTACAGAGGTGAGAAATGATGATATCCCAACCATATGGTGAACATAAGAAAAAATGGAAGTCACAGTGCCAGGCATCAAATTGTGACCCTTTGAAATTCATATGTTGAAGTTGACCCAAAATACCTTAGAATTTAACCCTGTTTGGAGATAGAATCCTTACAGAGGTAATCGGGTTAAAATGATGTCATTAGGTAGGCCCCTCATCCTATATTGATATCCTTGTAAGGAGAGGAAGTCTGACGCTATGCGCACAGGAGAATGCCGGGTGAAGATGAAGGTGGAGATCAGAGTCATACGTCTAGAAGCCAAGGAACTGGAAAGATCCCTGGCAGCCACTAGCAGCTGGGTGAGATGCACAGAGCAGATGATTCTTCACAGCCTCAGAGGAACCCGCCCTGTATACTTTGACCTTATGTCAAGGTGCAAATTCCCAATGACGAATGTCAACATATTGTATATCTAAAATGTACCAATAAACTTAATGAATAAAAAAATTTCAACCAGTGAGAACAGTGAAACAATACACTTGAACCACTCAGTGTTTGGTAACTTGTTATGGCAGCACTAGGAAGCCAACACTCGAGTTCTTAGCATCTTGTATTCAGACCACTTTGGAGCCTCAACTGTATCTCTACATTCAGGGAAAACTGGTACATATCATATTTCTTAGCACTCTGAAGATTTTATGATCAAACTGAGTTTTTTCATGATTACTCCAGTGCTAATAGTGTTTTCACAAGCCTGATATTGTTATAATTTTTTTAATTGAAACTTTCTACTTCCACACTTTGTTCTTACCATCTATTTCTCAATCTCTAGGTTTAAGGGTTGAAGCTATTAGAAAATGTTCTTGCTTACTGCTTAAACAGGTATATGGAATAAGCAGGCTTATATTCACATACTTATATATTTAAATGAACTTTCCTCTAATTGACTTAAAAATTGCAAAGATTATAATTTAATCATAGAAATAAAATTTACCCACTAAAATATTTTATTTATATAGTAGCTTAATGAAAAGAAGATGTTTCTGTTACAGTATTTGAAA